AGAGTATATTCACTAACATAATCAATCAGATCTTGGATTTTGAGGAACGAACATTGCATAAATGAATACGAGTCCGTTTTTCGTCCTTAGATGCAGGTTAACTATTCAGTTATCTTTCCACCTATACATTCATCACCTAGTTCCACAAATTTCTCACTGTACAGGTAGAGCACTCGTTTTTTCTCTTGCGTCTTTCCTTTTGTTTTTAAGGCGAACAACAAACTCGAATGCGTTCTGGTGATGTTCACTCCTGCTATCTGAACCGAAGACTATTCCCGGATTGCAGCCTCATCGCTCGATTATGAACTCTAAAACATTCTAACCTATGAACTGTCTATATGTATTGTAATGTTCCTGCATGAATTGCGAGGACGAGGTTTTACTGAGGTTTAACTAGTAGTTTATAACGCTCAGAAGTTTCTATAATCCAGTTTAAACAATGGCAAATTCAAAATATAACCTAACTTGGATACTTGCAGGAATAAAATGGTTATAAACACTTTATACTGGTTGTAGAAAAAGCAGCTAGTTCAAAATGCCAGCCTACTTGTAAACCCGCAGAGTAAAAGGGTAAAAGCACTATGCTACTATTACAACCCTCGCTACGACGTTATCGTTTGCAGTCTTAGGTATGGTGCTGTTTACCATGATGCTGATTCTTCTTACACTTGTAAAGATAGAGCTATGTGGGGAGCTGCGGGTGGTCTTGGCCCTACCCAGGTTTTCCTGTACTGCAGGTTTTTTCCTGGCCTCCCTGATTACCCAGCCTTAGCATAAGTATCAGCATCAAGTGAACAGCATTCTCTAGTGAACCTCGGGCCTTTTGACTTCGTTAAATTGACATAGCCGGACTTGGCCGCGTCGGCAATGAACTGAAACGGGTCTGCAATTAGTTCTTTCATATAAAAACAACAACAAAGTTCAAACATTTAACGAATCTGCCTAATATTGACATGCTAAACGCAAAGGAAAAACAAATTTTTATTCTTTAACCACCCCTTTTTCACTTTATTGCCGACCCGGTCGACTCTGCGCTGCTTCCCGTGGCGGAAACGACAACCTATACTTCGTATAGATTGTCATTAATGGCAGGGAAGTGCTGTCCGATGGACAACACTTCACCACGTGAAGCGCAATCACTGCTCATTCAGGTCGCACTGAAGACCTGAATGAGCAGTCCTAGAGACTCGATGTGGTCAGTCAGGTTATCAGTTGCGGCCCGGGGTAATGTGCCCTATACCAATAGTTGTTCACCAGTCCAACTAGGTCTCAATGTCGACGGCCTGACGGATCTGAACGGGGGTTCGCCTGTTCCCCTGTTATCTAGAGGTCCGCCTGTTCCTCTAGAACAACCTACAGTTTTTGCGTGTATCCTCAGCCAGCTTTGAGTACCCTGGGTAATGTGCCCTATACCAATAGTTGTTCACCAGTCCAACTAGGTCTCAGCTCGCTGAACGACATGCACAGAGCCAAGCATGCCCTCTGCAGTCTAGAGATTCGCCTGTTTCTCTAGATAAAACTTAGGTTAGCGAGAGCCTCTAGACAGTTCAGCCAGAACTGTTTTCGAGCACTTCTCTGCCCAAAATATATGCCACAAAAATGTGTTCCAAGTTATTGTTGTCTTGCTTAGTTGCCAGTTGTTCGATTTTAACTACTGTCTCTTTGGCAACATATTCAACTTCATTAATAATGAGATAAATAGATGTTAAATTGTTAATATAAGTTTTTGAATTGAATAACTAAAAATTTTTTAAGCTTTTTGGCTTAAATCAAATACATCTTTTTCAAAACTGTTTTGTTTTTTTACTACAACACCCCATTATAATCGCATGTACATTTTTTGCCAAGTCACCGCTAACCTTTGGCTTTCTTTGTATAGGCAAAATCATCAAATAATACTTCTTAAGACTTTTAAGACTGTCATAGTGTCATTCTACTTTGCTTTTCGAATGAAATCAGCTCTACTCAAATTTATATCAAAAAGAAACTTTGTCGAAAAACACTATAAAAAAATAGTAAAAAACATTGTCTTTACCGAACTTGTGTTGCTTTTGAGTTTTAAAAGCGAAGCATTACAATGGAATGCTCTTTAAAAACATTTAGCAAGAGGTTTTTTTAAACAATGGAATGCTCTTTAAAACATTTAGCAAGAGGTTTATTAAAAAACGTATGACGGTTTTATTCACAATCAAAACAATATCCACAGTCAGTGAGACAGTAATTTTTAGACCTTTTATGACATTTTGGAAACGTGTTTAGGATATTGAAAGTGATTTTGTAAGTGGTTTTGAGATTGTGGGTATTTTGAGATTTTTCTATTGATTTTATGGGAATATTTGAGCATCAATCTCGAAACCAGAGCCTACAATCCTCTGAGGAGGCTTGCTGAGGCTCTGGGAAACACCAGCGAAAGTCGGGCTCTGATTGGTTGTTTTTCAAGTGCTAATTATTATTCAAACTGTGAGCCGTATTCAAACATCGTTTAAAATTAATATAAAGTTTATTTCTCTCTGTGTATTATGTTTAAACATATCAATGAAACACACAGCATAACTTTAATAATTTTATTAATCTTCCCTAGCTTCTCATATGAAATCAATAGACTATTCAGATATTAATATGCCAATAACAAAATGTAGAATAACAACAGTGCAGCATTACCATAACACATTATTAAAATAACACAACAATCCATGATTTACCGTAATTAAACAAGTTAAAATAAATCACTACCAGTATCTTACAACAATTCAAAACCATGGCAAGTGTTCTTTGAAGAATTAAACTTGTGATAAGCTTAAACAACGGCATAATTCATGTTTGACGGCAGTATTGTCTATTTATAAATGTCGAGCGGAGTACTAGATCCAAATGTACTAATTTTCGTGCAAAAGTCGCCGGTGTTTCCCAGAGCCTCAGCAAGCCTCCACAGAGGATTGCAGGCTCTGGTTTCGAAATTGTTTGAGCATAGCCTAGGAGCCTAGGATAGACTGTACCCAGTCCCTCTGGGAAAAGACACGCGGGAGAGAAAAAGAGGGACTGTGGACAGGTCCATTGAAGTTGAATTTCGCGTATCATAACAAACGCAAAATTCGGATTGGTTGAAATAGTTGATTGACAGATCTATTTGCAGCATAAAATATTGCTAATTTTATTATCCAATCAGATTGCTAATTTTAAATTGGGAACTTGAAAAGTTCGTTCCTCAACTGTCTAATTTGTAATTGTAATACAGGTAAACTACTTAAAGCGTTCCTCGTTTGATTTTCTAAATTGATTGCAATTTTCCTTATTACTTTTGCAATTTAAAAAACTCCCTTGCAAATCCCTTGAGGAAATTTGCAATGTTACTAAAATCCAATTAAATTTTCCTCAGTTCCTGTTAGAAGTTCCTAACTTCCTGTTACAAGTGCCTAACTTCCTGTTCTGTTCTGGGCGTTGCAATTGGCTAACAAAAATAATCGACCAATAACAACGCTCAGAACAGAACAGGAAGTTAGGAAATTAAAACAGGAAGTTAGGAAATTTTAAAATAAAGTTTGTTTGCATTGGAATATTGCAACATCCGATAGGAACATTGCAAGTTCCCTCAAGGGATTTGCAAAGAGTTTTTCAAATTTGCAAACCTAATGAGTAATGAGGAAAATTCCAAATGAGTTACCAAGTCAAAAGAGGAACCGGCTTCACATAGTTTAACCTGTAAGTCTAGACAAGGCCAATGCAACAAAATACAACAACGCATATTCGGCGTGGCGAGTTTCAGTGCAAAATATTTATGCCAGAATTTTTAAATATTCCCAAATTTATTCACTTTAATAGAGCTCCAATCTCGAAAACAGTAAATATATATTTTTTGAAGTAGACGTTTCTCACAGTAGACATAGCATTCCAGACTCAGACGGAACGTATAGTTTGACCAATTCTGGTTTGCTATTTTATTGCTTTATTTGCATGACCTATTTACAAGGTAATAAACTTAACATATTATTTTACATAAAATGGTAGTAATAGTATTAATATATAACTTAACAATATCAAGAGACGAGCGAAAGAAAAACTCTGTGGGGAGAAACCAATTGAAACGTAGTTAATAAAACGACACGCGCCACGATATTAAACTCGCAATTAAAATCGGCATGGCAGTACCGTGTATCTTGGTTGTATCTTCTCTAATCGAAAAGCGTTGTGGAAGACTAAGCCATGTAACTTAGCAAATTTGGTTTTATCGCAAGTTTGGGATATTATTAAGAAGACCAGAGATGAAGTTTGTAAATTGCATCTATTTAAATTTCGAGTATATCATACCAAGAAATTTGTTTATTTATTTTTTTGAAGTATCTAACAGACAAAAACTGACTAAAGAGATATCGAGCAGAACAATACAAGAAAATAAAATGGAATAATTATGTTTACAAAATCAACATATCAAAGGCTATTGATTGGGGTGGAGCAATGGGGGGAGTGTAATGATGCGTGAGAAATGCAACTTCAATAGACTTGTCCACAGTCCCTCCTTTTCTCTCCCGCGCGTCTTTTCTCAGAGGGACTGGGTACAGTCTAAGCCTAGGATAGCGAATATTTACCTATTTTTGAAATTCTAGGCTAGGATTTCAAAAATTGGTAAATATTCGCTATTTTTTATTTTTAGATTTTTCAGCATGCATACGAGAACTTACCCCCTCCTCCCATAGAGTCCTATACATCAACTCCAATTTTATGGGATTATAATCAGTAGACTCAGTACGTATGGATCGTGGATGAGCAGATAAATAAAATAAGAATTTGTAACACGATTAATTTAATGATTATTTAAGGAATTTTAGAAACAAGGACGATATTTCGTGCGATTTGTTTTATTTGCCTTTTTACAGAATCATGTCAAACGTCGGAGATAATCTCCACATGTCTTATGGCAGCCGCTGCTTGCAAGCTGCGTTACGACAATCGAAGCAAGGTCACGAGCCTGGGACAGTAGATCGAATATGAACGTTTCCCTTAAGTCCAATTTCCACATCCGAAGACCTGTTCTTTGCCCATTTTGATGAAAACCATAGCCAACTGGAGCCTGTTCCAGAATTCTTTTTAGACGAGACTACCTCACCATTCGAAAACCCTGTTCTTGCTGAATTGCAGCCAGCATACAATTTTGGTCAACCGCAACTGCCAACGGAAATGCAAGCACCAAATGGATTGGAACAGGAGCTATTGACCGAATTGCACCCGCTTGATAGGCCAACTACTCCAACAATTGAGTCAGAGATGAGTGATAATGAGGGTCAAGTTATTGCTGAAAATACTAATGAAGTTACTGTAGAATACGAATCTGAAGAAGATAATGGCCAAAACGACCAACCAGAAATTGTGGTACCTCAAAAGAAGAAACGAAATCGAATTGCTGACCCACAAGCATGGAAACGTAACGTAGATAAAGCAAAAAGAATGCGGGGTGAAGAATACAATGGAATAGTTTATTCAAGAGAAAAAGGAAAAACAAAAGAGGTCCCAAAAAATGCGATAAATCTTGGTGCAAGATGCGGAGGGAAAATTTGTGATATGCAAGATAGCAAAACGGTTCGATGCTCCAGGATTTCAGATGAATCACGGCAGAAGCTATTTGATATGTTTTGGAAAGAATTGGATTGGGATCAGCGTCGTATCTATGTATGCTCGATGGTAGATATTGTTCCAAAGAAAGAAACGAAGAAAGGTGAAGGGCAAGAAAGTCGATGATCATGTAGCTTGCATTACCACTTGAAAGTTGAAGGCCAGCGAATTCGAGTTTGCACTAAGATGTTCCAAAACACGCTCCAAATCCCCCATCGCACGATTCTCTACTGGTTAGATAAGGGAAAGGACGGAATGATAAGATCAACCAAATACTCACCAATGCAAGAAAGAACCAAAGGGAAAAATGCACATGACAAGGAGAGAGTTCGCTTGGCTAATATCTTTGTCGATCAATTGGATAATGTCCCGTCACATTACTGTCGAAAGTCGTCAACAAAGAAATACCTTTGGCCATATGACTTCAAAAGTGCACAGGATGTGTATACTAACTATCGCAAGTGGATTGAAGAAAATCACAACAACAGTCAACCGCTGTCAGCAACGACCTTCAAAAGTATTTTAAAGGAAGAGAATATTGAAATTTGGCAACCTAAAAAGGACCAATGTGACACTTGTATCAGCTATAACCAAGGTAATATATCCGAAGAAACTTACATGGCGCACATTGATCTCAAGAACAAAGCAAGACAAGAAAAGGAAAACGACAAAGATGAAGCATCGAAATCAAGCAACAAAATAGTTATGATAACAGTAGACGTACAAGCAGTACAAACGATCCCCAAGATGCAAGCTAGCTGTCTCTATTTTAAAACAAGGCTGAATGTTCACAACTATACAATATATACCAACGTTACACAAGATGTTGTATGTTATGTCTGGCCTGAAACGAGCGGTGGTCTAGTAGCGAGTATTTTTGTCTCTTGTCTTCTATCATACTTTGATGATTTGCTAAGAAAATATCCGGATTTAGAGAAAATTATCATGTGGAGTGATGGTTGTGGAGCCCAGAACAGAAACGCAACTTTGCTTTCTGCTGTTTCTTCATGGGCACAGTCACACAAAAAGGAAGTCCTTGTTAAATACCTAGAAAAAGGCCACACTCAAATGGAAGTCGATTCTGTCCATGCGAAAATCGAAAGCAAACAAAAGAATGTAGATCTTGAAACTCCAGCAGTTTATTGTCACATTGTGAAAGAAGCAATGCGTCACCCATGTTCCTTCAAATGCAACTACTTGGAGTATGATTTCTTCAAAGATTTTGAAGCAACACAGGCATATGAGTCAATTCGACCTGGAAATAAGTGGGGGGATCCATGTGTTGTTGACATCAAGGAATTTCAGTGTAACTCTGACGGATCAATTAAATATAAGTTAGATCATGAGCAAAACAGTCCATTCAAGTTGCTGCCACATTGACGAAAGAACCGTCCGGAAGCTCACAAACCGCAGCTGAATGCGTCACCACTGCCGATAACCGCCAGAAAGTATAAAGATCTTCAAGACATTAAACTTGTTCTTCACCCTAATCATCATCAGTTTTATGACAACCTCCCGCATTTGTAGACATTGTGTGAAGTTTGCTTCGTGACTTTTTAAAGTTAAAAAACATTAATTTTTAGGATTTATTTGTCACGATTATTAAGTGGACAAAGTTCAGTTGTAGAATTAAATATTTAAGACGTGTTAACGAAATAAATTATGACCAAAAAAGTTTGAGATATATTCAGATATAAAAAATGGCATTGTTAGTCATTTATTTAATTAATGCAAGGTAAGTGGGAGAGGCGACTTTGCAAGTGCGCCAAACTTGGAGCGAAAATCACATCCTATCATTGTTAACACACAAGCTACGCCTCCGTACGAAAAATCTGACAGGAAAATTTGGCGCGCTTAAAAGATATCCAAGTCCATCACTCCGCCTTCTTTCGCTCATTTTCGCGCCTTTTTTTATCTACACGCATGAGCCGCCATTTTTGACCAAGTCTAGTAAAATGTACAAGCAATAGAGAGGCCAAAAAGTTAGATAAACAAGAATGCTGAGCTAAAATATTGCGCCAAAACTGGTAAGTAATTTGCAGTGACTAAAGGCGAAAATGGCGTAACTATAAAGTCCTGGCAATTTCCAAGGGAAAAAATTGTGTAAGTACAGGATTTGGCTATTTGAAAACAAAGGCGGCCAAATCATTGCCGAATCTTTTTTTTTTGTTAATAATGAAAAGAAACGATTGTTCCTTCACCAAATAAGGACTTGTTAGCAGTTGTGTTTTCTGTTTATTTAGTTTTTAGTTGGCTGTGAAAAATTGTAAAGTTTGACTTACGCAATTTTTGCACCACAACGACGATATGCCGAAGCAAATCCACCAGTTATACCTTAAATTTACAAATTATAACTACAGCGTCTGTCCCGTTTTTTGCGTTATCTATATAAACCACTCGGTTTGTTTGTTTGTTTGTTTGTTCCATTTGTTGTCATCGACGTTGCCGTTGGGCGAACGACTGAAGATTTTATTCATACTTTACAAAATATGTAACTGATTTGAGGTTTCAGCGTCGGCTACAGTTGATATATAGAACAAACTGCATGATGGTTTAAAGACGACACGTCGACGCGTTTTATGATTGTCGTGTGATTACCCTCAAATTGATTCTTTCATATATTTAATTACATTCTTTAATCACCATGCACTATCTTCCTTCTAAAAATATTTTAAATCAGGAATTTGTTCAATTTGTAAAATAACAATAAATTGTCAAAAGTTATGTCAAATGCCGGAATCCACACTCGTTCCGAAGGAATTTTTTAATTCATTGCGCGCCTCGGCAAAAATATTGCCGAGACAAACTCGAAAATTATCGAAAGCCTTCGGCAATTATTTTCCGAGTCAAAAATAGTTGAATTACGAGGGTTGTTAAATTTAAAACGAGCCATACATGGGACTGAGGTCAGTTTTAATTAGGGTTACTTTTACCTCCGAGTTGTCATGCATACACGAGCATTTGGACTGATTATAGGTAGGATACAATTTGCATGTGTGTACATGCATATGCATGCAGTTCGTGTTGTTCTGATGAAAGCCCAAAATGCCAAAAACTAATTTGATTATGTAAATCACTTGGACTTAGTAAACAAACACTGACTAATAGAATCTTAGGCGTGTAGTTGTGTAGTTTTTTAACTTAATATTTTATTATTATCAAGAAACTCGCCCAATTGCCCCTTTCCCATTTACTGCAGAAGAGTATTTATTTTTACATACACACACATAAATACGTATAATTACATACAATAATCCGTGGTCTATAGTATATTCAGTGACATTCCGACGAATCCTTCACCTGCACACCCTGACTATATAATTATGCATGTATAAAACAGGTAAAGTGCTCGAGGAATGACACGAATAATCTTATGCTCAACCTTATGGGCATAGCTTTCCTTTGCTGCATGCTTAAGAGTGGAAGAATCTATCAACTATACCGTGGCTGTGCAGACAAACATTCATAATTTATGTTAAAGTTTTTAGGGATATGCCTGCGTACTCGATGTACTGTGTCTCAACAAATTTTGCTTCAATAATTAACATGTTATAGACAAGAATTTCCCCCATCGTTCGCGCTCATATTGCACATTTGACTATTATATCGCTGACTGACAACCTTAATTGAAATAGCTGCATGCATGTATGTTTGTACCGACATAAGATCTACAATCGTTTTGTTATATTATTGCATGCATGCATGTAAGCCATGTATTGTGTAGCTATGACATGTTACACCTTTTTTGCATGTTTACTGGTGGTGGGCTGGCGGTTTTCGTTTTCTTTTGCTTGTTTTCGTTTCCTTTTCCTTGAAGACTTAGCTGTTGGCGTTGCTGATATTTTTTCTCCTGAAGGTGCCGATTTCCTTCTTCCTTTCTCAGTAATTTTAATCTAAGAGATAGAGAAAAGATGGAACTACACTCAGTGTTTACATCTATACTTTATATAGCTTTATTATATAAAGTATATAGTGCTTTATGTACTGTTTAATGTTTTATATTAGGTCTAAAGCCACTCGCGCTGCGCGCTCGTGGCTTGAAACCTAATAAAACACTCCTGCTAGTGCTAATAAAACACTCCTGCTAGTACTTCAAACACGACTAATTCAATAGATATACTGCCTTATTAGTATTCTTTATATAAAGAATACTAATGAGGACACAACTACAATAGATATACTGCCTTACTAGTATTCTTTATATAAAGAATACTGATTAGGAGTGTTTTATCAGGTTTAAAGCCACTGCACGTGACATATTATAGTTGACATGATTTGCCAATAAGCTTATGAATTATTAATGAGTGTTTGAAAGAGATTTCGAGCACTGATAAAAGTGATAATCTCACATATGAGATTATACATGATAATCTCACATGTGAAAATTATCGCTTTCCAATTATCACTTTTCTGTAAAAATGATCGCTTTTCAAAGACTGTCCTTTATATAATAAACAGAAAAATACATGGGTGCTTGGAAATACCAGATTTATTTCTCGTGTTGAACATGATATCTCACTCGTCCGCTGCGCTCACTCGTGAGATATCATGTTCAACACTCGTAATAAATCTGGTATTTCCGCGCATGCACCCATGTATTATTCTCTATATATATATCAGGGCATCAAGAATTGATATTCTGATTTTGTGAAATACACCAAATATATATACAATGTATACTGTAGTTGTGGCCTGTTTTTTCTTCCATGCAGGTAAATTTATTTCGTCTTAGCTTCTATATATATAATCACCTCCACTTCGATATTCCACGTGGAAGTAAGGTAGTTTATCCATTGAAACTAAATAAACTGATCTGTCGTCATGTGCAATATATAATTCACATATTCAAATTACCTCAGTATTGCTTGTTTCTTTCTCAAGCATTTTCTCAATTGCTTCGGTTGCTTTCATTTCCATGTCAACATTTTTATCAGCACTTGGATCGGAAGTTGGAAGAGGTGGACGAAGGTTGACGTTGAGTAGACCATCTAGACACCAAGAGTAGTATAGGAACTGCCGGTTCTAGACCACTAGTTTTTCGTTTGCGTTTTCGTGAACTTTCTAGACCACAAGTTTCCGGCTGAATTAACCCTTGAATTTACACCTAATTTATTCCTCAAGTATTTACATGATGCATCCTTCGTACTCCTCACAGCCTGCACTCCTAACGACTGCGCCTTAAGGCCCATCAACACTCTCAAGTTTTGTTTGTACTCCTTTGGAAGAATATCAAGATTATTTTCTATGTGGTTCATATTTGATACAATTTTTCTCAACGGTTGTAGCTTCTTGAACTTCCACCTCCTAGCTGGAATCACCACCTTAGGAGTAGGTCTGGGAATATATTTTTCGACCCTTATGGGAACACAGTCCGGTTCTATTTTTTCTTCGACGGCAGCCTGGACCATAGTTTTTCCCGCTGCGTGGTGTCCGTAGGCGTAGCTTGTAACTCCGTCGTCAAGAAGGTATCTTTTATCGTCAAAACAACTTAGAGTTACCTTCTTTAATTCGTAGGTTCCAATTTCATGTTTCACGCTTCTGATTGTATTCATATTGTGTCTCATTCTTCCCTTCGTCTTTATTACGTTCTTGAAGTTTTCATGAGTGAGCTTGTTTCTGATCACATACTTTTTGACACCCTTTGCAGTCATTCCTCCCTTACCGTTTTCTTTCACGTAGGAGTACATCTTCAACCTTAAGCCAACGAACTCAATTACTGGTACTCCTTCAGCTTCATCCTTAAACTTGCCTATCACCTTCTTATTGTGGGATGAGTAGTACGGAGAATCTTTTGGGTAGTCAGAATTATCCCAGCAGTTTTTCTCTTCACCTATCCTTCTAAAGTCCTCGTAAACGTCATCGGTCTTTATTTCATACATCAGACTGTCGGTATCTGTAAACAGTAGCTTTGACCTGTTACCGTACTCCTTCTTAATGGTGTTGTAGTGGAAATCGTACATTAGGGTCTTTGACAAGTCCAGGATGCTCATTCCTACGTAGCACGGCTTATTTAGCGTTAGGACTTCTTTCATTCGCTTTACCACTACCAGGTTCTCATTCATAATCCTATGTGACTGGAAGCACGGTGATGACGTCATTTTTAGGAGGTCGTTTTCAGAGGACACCAACTTAACGTCAACCCTTTTCCTAAGATTTTCCATCGTCTTTCCGTAGATTGAATTATTCATCAGCTTGAAGAAGTTCTTTTCGAAGGTGTTACGGGCAACGGACCTTTTCTGTGTATTGAAGTCTATATAGTTCTTCAACCAGGGTGACTGCTTAAATGTGACGGCTCTATGGATTTTTGTTAGTTTCATTCCAAGGTCCGTGTATAGTTTTAGATTATGTGCATGCAGGACGTAGTTTTTCCTTGGACCCAGTGAAGTTATGAGTTTCTTTACTCCTCCAATTTTAAGCTGGAATTTCTCGGCAATATCCTTAGCATAATTTGATAACATGGAAGAATCAATTTCCTTACTCTCGGGTGCTAGGGGGTAACCGTTGTGTAAGTTGTGAAGTTCCTTTGGGTAATCCAGGTCGACCTCAAGGACCATGCCTCTACTGCTGTCCTCTAGGTAGTTCTCAAGGTTTATACTGCTTGGTTCCTCGACCCACTTAAACTCTCCATTTGGGAGTGACTGTGACATCGCCCAGCCGTATAAATTGTTAGCGTCTAGGTACATAAGGTACTTGTTTTCGGAGGACTCCTCGTACGTTTCCATGTACTTATTATTAGCTGTGGAGTGTCTGTGAGCAATATAACTGGTGCCGCCTCTCATACCCTTCTCGAAGAACTGAAACATGTCCATATCACTTACAAGTTCTATTTCCTCACCTGACTGTTTCAGGAAAGCGTCCCAACTTAGACCTGATGCTGATACGTAGTGTGCTGGATCGAGCTTGTAGTTTTCCAGGCAAGTTTTTCTAAAGTTCTCAAACACGTCGGCTAACAAAAGAACGTCGGTTTCCAGGTAGAGGTCGTGGTAGTCCCTAAGGGTTTTCATTCCGAAGTGGTCCCACACTTTTTGAGCTCTCAGGTAGTCCTCTTCCTTCACCTTTGACTCGTACAGTGAAGAGTAGAAATTGTCCCTACTCGGTAGACCTTCGGTGTCGAGTTTGCTCATACTATCTAGGAACTCATAGGGGAATACTCCTTTTTGTGTTACCAGGTTAAAGTCCTCACCCTTCCATCTATCACCTACTATCTTAAAGTCCTCAGGTGAAAGGTTGCTTACCAGTGCTTCCAGTGAAGAAGCCATAAACTGTATAGAGTCAATGAAGACAATATTTTTTCCCAGTGAGAATGAGATGTACTTTTCCATGTTGTTTGGAATAACGTTAATGTCCATCCTGAACTTGCCAATCTCCTGCATAATCAAGTGACTATCGTAACCCCTCAGGTTGTGGAAGACCACGGGTATTTTCCATGTAATTCTGTACTTCAGGTTGCATATATTATGAGCAGCTCCACGATACAGGCCAGTTACATGATCATGGTCTCTTACCCTATCTTCACCAAGATCGTTACCACATATTGAGCAGTTTCTTGCAGCTTGGAATTCGAATTCCTGTTCAGGTGTAATTACCATCTTTTTCTTGAATATATTGTTAACCATTTCTCTACACCTGAAGGACTCTTTTAATACAGTCTTTAGGAAGACCAATGCAGCATCCTCTCCAAGGTAACTCTTATACTCACCGGAGTACTTATCATCATAGTGGCAGACTGTTTTCAAACCAAAACTACAAGCCTTGTGTGTTTGGTAAAGGTCTGTACTACTTTTGTCCTCAGGGTTGTTCGACTCCACTTTTCTCTCCTCTGGTACCAGTATGGACTCAAAATCAGCATATATCACAAATGGTACAGGCATTGAGTTCCTGTGATTTTTGAACTTGATTTTTGTCCCTTCTTTGGGAAGCTTTACAGCCTGAGTTCCGTTTACCTCCAGACATGTCTCCTTATGCTTCTCCAGTGCCTCTTCACTCACACAGCTGTGAAGACAGTGTAAGCAGAAGTGTTGTTTATGTTCGTGTTTACTTACGCTGTGCAACATCCTGTTAATATCCTTTATAAGAACGTAATGGTTGTTACCTTCACTATCACCCAGGAGTAGAAGTTCCATATGCTCGTCATATTTAGCCTTGGAGTTCCTTATCGGGTAGAACTGTTTCTTACCACTGTAACCGAACACGGATATGTTTATACTATTCCTCCTCTCAATTTTGTCGATATCACTTATCTTCACGGGGAAGTCTATATCCTTGTAGTCCAGGTTTGTTATGAAATCCCTGTCTTTTTGTGTGATAGTGGTTGCTCTCCTGACTTTTGGTCTCAGATGTCTTACATGACTCCACAGGAAACATAGGTTGTCATTGTTCTTCATATTGATTAGCCCACACTTTGGATTACTAATATCCACTGGAAGTTTTATATACGAACTCCCCTTCAGCGGTTTGTACATTGCAATGTTTACGTAGTGACTCTCAATATTGAGTATGATCCAATTTGAACCTAAGTTTTGGAAGGTTTCAATTCTAGACAATATTGTCAGTTGGTTTTGAGCAGCTGTACTTTCGATATCCTCGAAGTTGGTTGCAGTACCAGTTTTAGATTTGAAGTAGACCGAGTCCTTTTTGGTTTTACTGTCACCAATTTCTTTTGACATTCTAACCTTTATAGTTTCCGTGTACTTAAGACCACCCATTCTCTTCAGCTCGTTCACAAGTATTCCTCTCACTACCTGTCTACTTGCAGTCATCTGGTCCAGAGGGTCCATATAATGAGGAGTTATCGAGTAAGTCACAACGGCTCCATTTGTGGCTGTTTCGATTTTCCTGTGGAATGGCTTTTCGAGGTCTGTTCCAAATGGATCTATCTCATGTTCCTCTGGTGTAATCACTACCGGCTGCTCCTTAACTTCCCTCGACATCCTTACAGGCTTACGTAACTTAGGAGGAGACACTGGTTTCCTAGTCCTAGGTTTGGGTACAGGTTTTTCCCTCGGAAGCTTAGTCCTGGGTTTAGGTACAGGTTTTTCCCTAGGAAGCACCGTTCTGGGCTTAGGTACAGGTCTCCATGGAGCTACACCCTTAGGCGCCTCAGGAGCTTTCCTCACGGGTCTCTTATTAAGATCCACGTGAATTGTGAACTTACCAGGACCTGCTGGAGTTATGACGCTATCAGCAGGCACTGACAGTTTTACCTTCCTTTGACTCAGGAATCTTTCTGCTACGGTTTGCCTTTTAACCTTGACACCAGACTTTGCCTTCGGTGGTCTACCTCTCTTCTTAGGAATCTTGACTTCAGCATCGGACTTTGCCTTTGGTGGTCTACCTCTCTTCTTAGGAATCTTGACTTCGGTGTCAGACTTTACCTTTGGTGGTCTACCTCTAGGACGCTTGATCTTAGGGTTCCTCTCGTTCTCAATCCTCTTGATTTCCTCATTTACCTGAGGATCATCCGTGCGCCATCTACCTCCCATCGTTGGTGGTAATCCTTGAACACTCTTTGACAGCAAGCTTTGGTATGCCTCCTCTACAAGTAAGGCCTTTGCCTTTTGCCTGTCAGAGTATTTCCATGTAGGCATAATTCCTCTTCTTCCCTTATAGTTCAGGGGAAGGCGTCTGGGTTTCTTTACCTCCATATCACGGTCAACTTCGTCTACGAATTGTCTTTCTCCTTCAAAGAGATCTTTGCCCTTATCATCACGTGCAATCCTGTAGTTTTTGTCAGCTATGATGTTCTCCACCCTCGTATCCATATCATCATCGCTATCTACGATGCTATTGAGAGCCAGAAGTTGTTCTATGCTGAATTCGTCTAGGTTTAAGTAACTCGCCATGTTTTCTAACTGTTTCTATATACTATATGTGTAAAAATAAATTAGGGTATTTAATTTCGAATTAATTTCGAATTTAATTTTGAATTAATTTTTATTTATTTAATTTCTAATTAATTTATTATATTAATATTTCTTTAAGTGCTTTTATTTAATTTATTATATTAATATTTCTTTAAGTGCTTTTATTTAATTTATTATATTAATATTTCTTTAAGTGCTTTTATTTAATTTATTATATTAATATTCCTTTAAGTGCTTTTATTTAATTTATTATAATATTTCTTTAAGTGCTTTTATTTAATTTATTATATTAATATTTCTTTAAGTGTTTTTACTTTTCCAGTTATTATAATATTTACAATTCTCGGGTTTCCATCCAAGCTCAACAAAAACTTTCCCATACAACCTATCCTCAAGGATGTCCACAATCCTTTGAGTCTTAATGTCCTCAGGAGGGTTCTTCAGGGAGATGCCGTTCATGCTGGCTATCCTCAGTAGGTAAAACTTGTATCTAACTATGTTGCGCCCCCTTTGCAGTCTAAGTCTTTGTATACATCTTACTATGCTTCTAAACTGCTCCCTTATGATGTCCCTATCCCTAGAAGCAACATGTTCGAACAAGTGTCTCTCAAACCAACGGACTCTATTATGACAAGACTTCTTTTTCAGGTAGTCGTCCTATTGTAGTTGTAACTAACGTAGTATGTGAAGTTATTCATATCACTAGCACCACACTGTGTGCATATATCTTTTCCATCTATCATTACAATAGACTTACTCCCACATTCACTACATATTGGATCGTATGTGTGTTTTATCTTTATTCTACTCTCTGCGTACTTTCTCACAGCAGCCTCTAACTCTTCCAGTGTATTTGTCTTCTTGCCTACATGTGCTATCTCCTCAGGTGTTGCCATCTGTAACCATTCCATTTCCCTATACTATATATGTGAAAATTTTTGTGGCATTTTCTACAGCATTAAATAAGCTGCCCCTCCAACCACCCCACCTGTAATTAAACCAAATAGTGCCATATATTCTTCCATCTCAGAGCTAGGTTTGTAGTGATTACTTAATTGCGGCTTCCTCGGCATAGCCTTACGTGTTAACTCAAATTTTTACGTGTTAACTTAAATTCAATTGCGAATCCTGTGTACTTCCCCATAGGGTTCTCTATAATAAGATCTGGCTGACCACCTTTATAGCCCTTCTTCCAGGCATCACATCTTTTTGACACCGTATCCTGGTACTCACCAAGACCGGGTACTATTACAGCCTTAGGGTGGTTATTCCTAATGTAACTCACAACTGTATGATGAAGGTCCGTTTCATTTATGAGGATCATCTGGTTGTACCATAGTGACCTTCTGTCTGGTAATTCATATGAGCCTGTTTTACGGATAGATGGAAGGACTTCATTGAACACCCACCTTCTGAACTCCTTTGCTGTGTTAAGCTCCGATCCAAATATTAGTTGGTACAAACCCTGTTCGGTGACCAAAATGGTACCAGGCTGACCGTTCAAGGGGGGTCCCTCGAGGGCACCCCTTTGGATGGACCCTAGCGTGCACTTATCCTCTTCCCAAACATGATTTCTAACAGCTTTTTTCGTATTTGAGTATCCGAGAGATTCTGCCACATCCTTTGCGTAAAACAGTACCTCCTCACCACTCTTAATGGTTCTTACGCTAACATTCAACTTTTGGTTCCTGAATAATTTCTCCATCTTCTCTATACTATATGTGTAAAAATTTTTTAGGTTATTTTATCTTGATTTATGAAGCGGCATTCCCTTTTCCCACCCAGCTGCTTCCAACAGTTGTACACTTCCTATTATAAAAAATTATTTTTCATTTAGATTCCTGTATATTTTTACAACTGTTTTTATCGTATCGGCTTTAAAAGCTTCAAATTCATATTGTAGTGGACCTACTATTTTGTTTTTAAGGGCATCATGATCTCTCTGTAGTGAATCCAGGGTTGCCTGAATTTTATCTAGCTGTTCCTTGTTCCTGTCAGTCTTCTCAATCAACTCGCTAATTATGTCTTCGAACTCTGTTCCCTCCCAAGCATTTCCCCAGTCGTGGTGTGACATTCTGTATTTAATAAGATATGTTTAGCTTCCTCAGATACTTCCTCGGGTTCCTCCTTCTTATTCCACTTATGGGCAACTACATGTTTAGCTGTTGTACAGCCACCAGATATGAGCCCTATGAATGGGATGTTGGGGGATATCGTTCTGGTTAGATATGATACGTCGTCCTTCAGAAGCTTGTCACTAAGTAGTTCCTCTGACAGTTTTTCTGAAGATTCCACTGCACCGAAACTTCCTAGTACAGAAGCAAACTTTGAAATAATAAGTGTTGATAAGAAGTCACTTGCACATGACATTCTCTGACTTTCATACTCTTGGTATAGTCTATCTACAACATCCTTGTTGGACTTTCTTATAAAACTTGCGGACTTCTCTATTACTCCATCCCTCGATAGCTCTATAAGCTTGTCTCTTTTATGTTCAGTTTGCGACTTATCTGTGGTGGACTTAGTTTTTCTTGCTTTTTTCCGCGGCACCTTTGCGGCCTCCTCTACTTCTCTCACAGCCTCAAATATTTCTTCCTCAGATTCAGTTCCCATCATCTATATTTTACGCGGTGTTTAGTTTAACAGTGTATGTGTAAGGGTGAATAAGTAGTACGTCCAGTGCGGTGAACTTCTCATCTTTTAATATCTTCGTAATCTCTGTAATTGTCTCCTGAGGAACACCACTTAGGTAATCATCTGTTATCACCTTCATATCTCTGCGACTAGGGTTGTAAAATGTAACTAGCCTGGAAATGTTCTCCCTGAATGGTTTTGCTACTGATGACAATTGTTGGGTAATTACAATGACAGATAAGTTGTAATGTCTTGCGGAGAATGCTAAGCGCACCAGTTCTGAGACTCTTTTCTTTACATCTTGACTTGCCGCACAATCGTCCACTATGATGAGAGTTTGAGTACCGCGGAATATGGTGGACACTGCCTTGAGAACTAGATCGATCATTTCTTGTGAGCATGGAATTTGTATAACTCCGTGATCACTAATATGAGTCCAATTAATGTAAGTCATATTCCACTCTATGGTTGGACATATAATAACAATGTAATCGAAAACTCTATTGTACTCTGTTTCTAACATATTAAGTAGGAACCGAGTCTTTCCACTTCCAGTCATTCCTACTATGAGCATGTTGAATGGTTGCATCTCTATGCTTTACCGTTAGTATTGAATACTTGATAGATCTCTATTGGCAAAGTTAAGGAGAGCATCTGATACAATAAAAATGTTGCATTGAACGTCAGCCGTTGTGGCTCTCTTTTTGATTTCCAGGAGTACTCCCGACTGTGTGTTAACAATCTTCTTACCTCCACCAGTGGTATCATCTTGTGTTGACCTAAGATCGATTACTAGAGCAAAACCATTGCTGAAAAACTTACTGATGGACATAAATTCGTCCGCCATGGATTTCTCACACATAGGGCAGAAAAATCTTTTTGCCTCTTCGAAGAACCTATTTTTATGAAGTCCTTGTGAGAAAACTGCATTAGGCACACCTTCAATGGTCAGGTTCACTTTATCAATGTTTGGGTAAATATATTCTTCAGAATCAGTCCTCACTCTATTGGTAAATAGAAGGACAATTGCCGACATGCTCTTCCTGGGGATATTGATGTTCTCATTGACAATGGTAAGATCCTTGTCCCAATTACTCGTACGCATAAGAGTAACGTGTTTGTAGGACAGTGATCGGCCTGTTGAATACAACCTTGATACTTCACTTGCAAGGGTGTCATTCTCAATGGTCTCGTATTCTAACTCAAGATTGTCCAGTTTATAATTACCCTTAGCTTCACCTCCCTGGGCGGTCATAATTTCATCTGATTGGGGGAGTGTGAGGATGTACATAGGATTTTTATTCATGGAGAACGGTGTGTAGAGTCCGTGGTCTGCAATTATTTTATCAATTGGTTTTCTAAGCTTAGAACCGTACACACTGTGGAGAAGTCCATCTGCTACTTTACCGGCATCACCTACTTTTACTCCTGAGTCATCACCTGATATTAACTTCCTGAGATTCTCACTTGCAAGACCCTGTTCAGTCATCTTATTTCTGTCGCCTAGTGTTAGCCATAGATCTTTGTATATTTCGTACAAACTCTCTCCTGAACAGTCATAAGCTGTTTCACCTGCTACTTTAATCTGAAGACGTTTAGCTATCAACTTAGCTAGGTTATTATTAAATCGGCTCTTTGTATTGGAATTTTTGAAGTCAAATAGTAGTGCAAGCGATCCTGGAACTAGGCAAGAGTCGGACTTTAGTTTGGGGATGTTAATGTACAGCTCTTCACCTGGACCAATCGTTGTTGGATTAAATGTTACAACGCTTCTAGTTCTCGGTCCCTTTACGGATGTCATATGGCTCCTCCTGAAGCCGGGTTGGAGTTCTCTTTCTGTGGTATTCATACTTTTATACAATATGTAATGTTTAGCGTTGTAAGTAGTCGTACGTAAGTAATGCAGCCGCTATAGCTAGAACCCATAAGTTTGATGCTAGCCAGGTAATTCCTTTAGCACCCCATGATAGAGCTGTTGCAAGAGCATTCAGGACTGGTATAAGAATTGGAGCACCTTTCCTTGCTAAGTTTGCTAGTGCCTTTGCTACTTTACCAGTTGCCTTTGCTGCTCCAATAATTGCACCCCTAGTCCCAACTATTAAGGTTGTAATTAGAGCTGCTGTTGACACTGCTATTCCTGTGAGACCGACTTTATTCTCCCCTAACCAGTCCTTAAATCTTTTAAATCTTGAAATGTCTTCAACTTGTTTAAATCTTACTTCCTCCAACTCTCTTTGGAATGCAGTTTTATCCCTAGCTTTCCTCAGGGCTTCTACTCTACTGTCCAGTCTTCTGTACTCCTCAATATCATCCGCTTGATCTCTCATCTCAATGGTTTCATAAATGGTTTCATTAAAGTGGTCAACCTGTTTCTGAAGTGCACCATTCTCTCCTATACGTGAACTCCATAGCACACTCTCCTTCGGTTTAATAACTCCTCTTAGTTCCCTATTCTCTTCTTGTGTAAGACCTGAAATGTCAGTGTCAGTTTGTTGTTCAATATTAACAAGTTCTATGTTCTCAAATTCACTTACTTCAGAGATAAAGCTATTTTGACCAGATACTTCATTTATATCCACAGCTTGCTCTGGTTCTGGTGTCTGTAGTCTGGTCATGCTTGATTTTCCTTATCAGTTCCCTATATTCTCTCAATGCAGGTGAATTCTTGGAGTACACAGGTATACTGGTCTTACCACGTTTCATTATTTGTGTCCCACTCCCGTCAATACCTTTCTCACTTTTAAACATTAATTTAATTGATCTGTTCACTGAACTGTTGTAATTATCAGTTAAGTCTTGAAGGACGTCTAACCATTTATATGTACTGACACTGTAAAAGTACTTCCACATTAGCGCCTTCAGTGTTCTGTTAAATCTTTCCACAACTGCGGCCTTTTTGTCTGAGTAAGTAGAGAAAAACTCGATGTTATGTTTATTAAGCAATAACTTTACTTCTTTGTTGTAGAACTCTGTGCCTTGATCAAACTGAGCGAATTTTGGGTATTTACCAAAACGATTATTAAATTGCTCTAAAATGTTACTGACTGCGTCCTTCATTGATGTCGCGTTTTTCCTATACACTGGCACTGTGAATGCGTACCTACTCAGTATTTCGATTGATGTGAGAATCCAGCGGTATCCCTTGTTCTTGTCGTCATATTTTGTCATGTCGACTAAATCCATTTGTAACTGTTCACCTAACGTTTGGACGTACGTCTGTCTGAACTTATGTTTCCTAAATACTTGTCTGTACCTAGTGTATGTGTCCTGCTCATTTATCCATTTCTTGACCTGGTTTCTGGTTACTTTAAGTCCGTCTGATATTGCTCTAAGATATAGTTTCTCTGGTGTTTGGAATCCAGTCTTAGGATTGTAGTAAATATCTCGTAGTCCCTGTTCTTTTATAATATCATCGTCCATCTTATATTAACCAATGTAAGCTAACTACTCAAGGTACATCTCGATAAGCACTTCACCTATATCAGTAGGTTTCCCGTCTTGATCAGTCATGTGGAATACAAGTTCTGAGAAAGAACCCTTAATAACTGAAATCCTGCTTTCAACATCAATGTAACTGACTACCGAGCCTAATAATGGTCTGTCAGTTGGAACTGTAACACTTGTTATTACATCGCTGGGTCTTCCCCAAGGGTTAACGTTAAAACTGCTACTAACTAGACCGTTGCAGTGTATATTTACACATCGTAGACCGTTATTGAAGTCAACTTTGCTATCACTTGTCAAACTCCTCCCTTTTAGTAGAATCATAGGATTAAAAAATCTATTAAAACCTAACATGGTCAGTAATCGTGTTTCTATTGTGATATCTTGTTTTACTGCTTCTATTTGACATCCTGCTGTTTCAGAAAAGTAGGTTAGCTTAACACCACGTCTTTCAAGTAACTTCTTCATACTGTCAAATGTGTAGTAACCTTTATGAATGATCACATCAGATTCTCCATCATCTGTTTTCACTTTGAGAATAGTTGTTGGTTCCCTTATGTTGAAGTACTCCCAGAAAACTGATACTCTCTTCACAAAGACTGAATTATAGTTGCTTGTTAGAACTGAGTTCTGTAGTGATACAACTGTGTGCGAACTCTGGAGTAAAATTGTGAACTTCATCTTAATAACATACGTTAGGTTATTAAGAATGAGACTAGGTGGAGGACAAGTTGGTAAGTCGCCGTATCGGTCGTATCAGGACTACGAAAAAAAGTATGGAAATGATGCTAACAGCTATGTTGATCCTGTTGCTGGTAAAAATGCAGAGAATGCTGAGAGGGCTAGATTCATGGTAAGTTATCCTTTTGCGGATATGAGAAGATTTAAATTTGAAGCTATGACTACAAGTAGTGGTGATATTGGTGTTGTTACATGGTTTGTTGATTTGGATGGTATATCTTCATATGATATTAGATATGACGGCTTTAAAAAGGATAATGAGTTCACATCTTATCTCACATCAATGAAACCTAAGGTAGTAGTGGCACCTCCACTGAAACCAAAAGGATGGCCACATCTTTGGAATAGTAATGGAACCGTTCAAGAATATAAACCTCTTGTATTTCCAAAGGATCCTACTTACAATGAAAGAAAGTTAGGTCTTAGTAGAGTTCTAATTCATGATGACGGCTATTATATTAATACATATCGACCTCCTGTAAGTCTTCCCTACAACTTTAACAACTTTAAGATCTATGTAAATGAAAACAGTTATTTCATGTCTAACTTCCCTAATGCTGGTGTAGGTTGGGATGAAGGTCCTAATTTAACTAATAAGGATGTAAGAAAAGTTTCCTTTAATACGATACCATACACTAGAATGTTATCTGGCGCCTACATAGCTAGCTATCTCAGTGGTGTATCCTTAGAACATGTTCGTGAAAGTAATTCCGTTCCTAAAATAATAACATCCATTATGAGGTACCATCTTTACTACACAACTAGAAAGTTAACAGTTAGTAAGGATGCTATTGATAAACTTAATGTCAACCTTGACAATGTAAGAAAACACATTCCAATAAGTCAAAATTATATTATTGATGGAAATGGTGCTACAACTAGTGCAGGACCTTTGTCTGGCAGTGATTACCTTTCATTCATAGCTGAAAAAAGTAATGGCTTTACTAAGTTGGGTGTTGAGCTTATCCAGGAAAGTATTGAGTCCTATGTATATGCTATGTTGGGATCTCAAGCTAATACACGGTGGTCAATAGAAGGAAGCGGTCCGAAGGCTCTTCAAACACAACGTGACTTTAGAACTATTGTGAAGTCTACTATTTTACAAAGTAATACGGTAACAACAATTAGCAATATGAGGAAAGCTGTGAGGGACACCAATGTGATTCTAAACACTGCTTTATCCCCTGGAACAGTTCTAATCCCATCGAACTTTATTATTTTGAAAACTCCGATTCTCGGTTATAATAACCTTCTAAAGACGGCAACTAATGCAATGAAATTTGGGGTGAATCCTAAGGTAAATTATGTAGGTGTTAAGCAAGTTGATCCTCCAAAGAAACAGCATCAAGATAGCACACCAGTTCACCACCTTGATACTCTTAGTGGAAACGTAAAAGTTCCGGGGAGTCCTGTAAGTGTTACGCCACAGGTTGTTCCTATCATGAGGCGTAATGTAGTTAGTACCCGTGAGTCCCTAGGTGACGGCGCTTTAGCTGGACTTGGTATAGGGTCTGTTGTTGTGTTTCTTATATTGAGAACTGTTCTGTGAAACATTGTGTATGTTATAAAAAATGGCTCTCTATAAGGGATATATTAAAGGTGTAAATAATATTGATCCAACAACTGGTAGTGTGTTTGATAAGGATGGATTTACCATGAAGGGTGACATTGAGATGGACGGTAATGAGGTAAAGGGTTTAGGTGCACCAACTGATGATACTTCTGCAGTCACAAGAAAGTGGGTAGATGATGAGATCACTAAACAGGATTCTGTAACAATTAAACCAAAAGGGTTTACAATGACTGGGAATATTGACATGGGAGGTAATAAGATAACTAATCTTGATAATCCTACTAATCCAGGTGATGCCACCAGTAAAAGCTGGGTTGAAGGTAGTCATGCAAGTTTACCTGGACTTATCCTTACAAATGATCTCAATATGTCAACAAATGAGATAAAGGCTTTAGGTGATCCTACAACTGGAAAGTCTGCTGTTAGTAAGGACTGGGTAGTTGGGATGTTAAATAGACCTGTATCTGGACTTGATATTGCTGGTGATATTGACATGAAGAACCATGAGATTAAAAATCTTGGGGACCCCGCTGGGAATCAGTCTGCTGTTAGCAAGGGATGGTTTAATTCAAACACCAGCAACTTCCTTAAGCTGTCTGGGGGTAATAATCAGTTTATCCGAGGTAGTGTTCTATTTGATGAAGTTGCACATACAAGTAAAGATCCCGCCACTTCTAGCGGTCTAATAAGAAAAGGCTTTCTGGATAAAAGTCTGGCTTATTACGTTCACCGTAACGGTTTAAATGTAATGATAGGTGATCTTAGGATGGGTGGACATGAAATATTAAATCTTAAGGACCCAACTACTAATCAGTCAGCTGTTACAAAAAAGTGGGCCACTGATAATAACTTTGTTAACAAGGGAGGTCGTATGTTGGCTGATATATCAATGGCTGGATATAGACTTTTCGGGCTACCTGACCCTAGGATTGATAATGAAGCTGTCTCCAAAAAGTGGGTCGAAAATAAAATATCTACGTTTGATTCAACATATGTTAAATCCACAGGTTCAACAATGGCCGGCGCCCTCAATATGGGTGGAAATGAAATTAAAAATATAGGTGACCCTAGTTCGAGTACATCAGCTGTTAGTAAAAGTTGGGTTACATCAGGATTCACTTTAAATGGTGATCTAACCGTTGCAAATGGTAATTCAATCTATACGATCAACAACCTTGGTGCAAAAATAGCTGTTCCTAATATTCAAACTGTTATTAACCAAATTTCACGCTTTGCCTTGAAATTGGACGGTTCAGATGAAATGACTGGTGTTCTCAAGATGGGTGGAAACGAAATAGAAAATGTTGGAGCTCCTAGTGCTGATGCATCTGCTGTCAATAAAAAGTGGGTAGAAGATAAGATTAGCGGTGGTAGAAAAAAGCGTGAGACTTACAGTGGACTTACCCTATCTGATGACCTCGACATGAATAACAATGAAATAATAAAATTAGGTGCTCCAACTACTGATAATTCTGCTGTGTCTAAGAAATGGGTCACCGATCATGTCAGTGGAAGTTCTATCAGTAACAGTGGCTTTACTATGAGCGGTAATATTGACATGGCTGGTAATACTATTACGGGACTAAATAGTGGGTCGGTTGGGGATTCCAGTGCAGTTTCCTATGGATCTATGAGTTCCTGGTGCTTACAGTTCTTAAAACGTAATGGTGGTACTTTAGCTAGTAATTTAGATGTTAATGACTAAGAGCTAACAAGAGTCGGAAATCCTACAACTGACGGTTCCGCTGTTAATAAGAAATGGGCAACTGATGAGTTCATGAGTAGTAGAGGTGGACTGGTAAAGGGTGATCTGGATATGGGAGATTCAAGTGGTATTCTTGATCTAAGGGATCCGGTAAATGATAAGGACGCAGTTAACAAGCAATGGGTAGAAAAGAATTTCCTAAAACCTTCCTCAGGTCTTGTACAAGCAGTAGCCGATAAGAGATACGTAAGAATAAACCGTCACATTCACGCTGAGTGGATCTGGGGTTATCGTGGTGTATCAGTTGCAGCAACAAGGTACTATGCTTACTGTCACGATCAGATTCCACCTTCATGGAGAACAGATACTATTAATAATATGACAGACCTCAACCTTGAGTCAATTACTATTAAAACAGACTACCCAAGTTTTTCAACCATTCAAAATATACCACTAGCTCTAATCCTGTGGGCTACTGTATGGGAAAAACAATCTAATGGAAAATATACACAGGTCAAGAAGGAAATCGCTCTTAGAACAATAGACAAAGAAGACTGTCACATACTTGGTTCAATGGAACTTACACAACTACTG